TTTTCAAAATGTTTTTTCTATTTTGCTGAATATCATTTCTTAGAAAGGCAATTTTTATTGGATGTGTACTTGTGACCAGCACTATACAACGAAATTGTACAACACTGACTATAATAATAATGCATATAATACTACTATATAATAACAAGGGATTTAAATAAGCATATATAACATGATAATCAGGTTTTTTCTGATAATGAAATAGTATTACGACCCAGTTACAACATCTGGTAATCCATTAATTATATAATAGGGTTATCAGCTTAATAATAATATTATTATTATAGGATTTTACAAAGTAATATTTTGTCACCGCAGAAAATTATCGTTCCTGATACATTCGTACATACGTACATATGTAAAATTTCCTCGTACAAGTGTACGACCACAATGAACTCAATGGTATGTACGAAGATTCTTCTTGTACAGTGAAATTGTGCAACTCTGGTGTAATATTTTATCACTACAGAAAATAATCGTTCCTGATAGATCGTACATTCGTACGTACATATGTAAAATTTTCTCGTACGGGTGTACGGCCACAACAAAATTGTACGAACTCAATGGTATGAAGATTCTTCTCGTACAGCGAAATTCACAACCCTGGTTTAAATCAATTGTATTATAAAATTTAATATTCCATTTAACTAAATAAAACATTAAACTAATAAATTTATAAACAAATTCAGAATTTACTTCTTTAAATGAATTCTTTGATTCAACTCATTGGCAATATTAATAGAAGACAATGACCGGATTGATTCTAACTCATTGCCAATATTATTAGAAAACAATGACCAGATTGGTTCTATATTAGAATGTGATGAATATTCATTCCAACAATCAATGAATGATGTTATTATTTGATGATAATATAAAAGAAAACCTGCCTATAAGTGAAATAAATGAAGATGAAGATAATCAAGAAGAATATGATAAAGAATCTCCAGAGGAATTTGATAAAGTAACAACAATGGATGGAATATTCCTCAATGTGTAAGATATATTGTACCAATTATTGGGTAATAAATGGAGGGTATCTACATATAAGAACAGAAACAAAACCATGTATATATGACAAAGAATCATCCCCATCTTTGATTTTTTTTTTCTAGATGGATCAACTATGTTGCTTCTTCAGATGATATAAATGCAAAAAAATAAATTATTAAATCTTTTAATACAAGTTTTTAATAGATAAGCTTCTACCAAATCTATAGTACAAGATTTCACATCAATTACTTGTTGATCTAAATGTGACGCATGAACATTTTGGGCTCAATCATAACTATAATGTGCAGTAGCATTAATACTGCAATATTGTGTTATACCCTTTGAATAATTTTGATTAACTAATTTTCTTTGTTCTTCTGCTAATTTGGTATTTTTATTATAATAATTTCTTTCTACTTTAGCCTCGGACAGATGTTCTTTAAATCTTTTGAGCAAATCTTTAGCTTCTTCCTCATGGTGAGCATTATAATGTAAACCATCTCTAAAATGTTGGCAAGTATCACATAGGTAAGTCCTTGGACTCATAATTTGAATTTTTGGTGTCAATTGATGTCATAACTTCCTAAAAGCATCATACTTCAAAGATTTTAATTTGTCATCTTCTTCTAAACCAGCCAGAAAATCTCTATGGACTGATCTGTAACTCATATCAGCTGGTAAAAATACAATTAATTGAGTTACTCTATTGATACTTCTTCCTGGACTTGGTAATCCATGAACTTCTCCATAATTTTCCAGAAAATTCTTTACTACTTCTGCAACATTTTTATCAATCACTGTTTTAGTTTTCCATTGAGACATCCTTTTAATATTACCATGAATTCTTGGTAAAAGACCATTGTTTATCAGATGACTTCTAATATTTTCAAAGTAAGTTCTGCCAATTCCTAACATATTGAGATAAGTTTTTTGACAAAGGGGTGTATTGTGATCCCAATGATAGAAAGTTCTTTTATTAGATCTAGTTTTCTTTTTAAGATGTCTGCTAGTGCTTGTTAATCCACCATCCATTGCCTTAAGTTGGGCCATTAAAAATATGTATTGTTCAGACTTGGAAAGAGCTTGAAAGGATTCCCATAATTCTGCAAATTCTTCCTTGGGAATTCTTGAAGAACAATCACAATCACAACCTTTTTCTAAAAAATCAATTGCTTTTTGATATTCATTAGAACCATAATACTTATTATTATTTTCATATACACCTATTCCTATATAATTTTATAATTTCATGTTCACTTTGTAGGTTTCATTTATTTTAAAATTGAAATTGGTCCCTGTGGTGACAAGCAAAGTGGGCAGAAAATAATTAAATTTGAGTGGATCTGCAAATAAATATTAGAAATATATATTCAATAATTGATATAAAAGAGAAAATAAAAATCCTCAACTGGTTCCATGAAAAATAATTACATTAGATTTAAATTATTTACTACTTTTTTAATAATTAATTTCCGCTTTTTACTCTTTGTTGAATTACTACGTAATTACAAACTATCAAAAAAATGGACAAGAGTTTTAAAAAAAGTAGTATTATTACTAAAAAAATCAAGTGAATTTATTATCTTGAGATCTGAGATTTATTGATCAACTAAGCAGATAAACAAATTATTTTATTTTATTTTTTTAAAATAAATTTGATTGGTTCTGATCATTAATCATTTGACTATATCCATTCATCAACAATTAAATCAAAAAGAAAATTAACAATCGACAATCAATTAAATGATCAAAGAATATTGATGACATTGTATTTGATCAAATAATTAATTTCCGCTTTTTACTCTTTGTTGAATTACTACGTAATTACAAACTATCAAAAAAATGGACAAGAGTTTTAAAAAAAGTAGTATTATTACTAAAAAAATCAAGTGAATTTATTATCTTGAGATCTGAGATTTATTGATCAACTAAGCAGATAAACAAATTATTTTATTTTATTTTTTTAAAATAAATTTGATTGGTTCTGATCATTAATCATTTGACTATATCCATTCATCAACAATTAAATCAAAAAGAAAATTAACAATCGACAATCAATTAAATGATCAAAGAATATTGATGACATTGTATTTGATCATGATTATATTATTTCTGAAATAAAATATTTACATTTTACTTTTGCAAGAAAAATTGCAAATTCTATTTTTATTTGAAAATTAAAATAATATTGACTTTTCTGTGTTATTGACAATAACTGTATTCATGTATGGAGTTCTCTCTTCAGCATAGTGATTAAAAAAAAAAAAAGTTTTTTATTTATCAGTCATACTTGCATCTTGTGGTGAATATTCTTCATGATCATTTACATTGTTTACACTACTCACCAATAATTGTTAATTGAGTATCATGGAAAGCAACTAGACCTATGAAGTTTTCTATCATAAACAAAGTCATAGGGTCGAATCTCTTCTGAGACCAATGGTAAGGTTTTCAATGCTTCATGACGAAGAGGATATTGTATCACTTTTGATATACTGCACTCTAGTTTTTCTTCCATGTGCATCACATTTTCATGATTAGTAAGTTATGTCCTGTCTAAAGTAAATTTTGGTATTATTTCATCACCATATCTGTTATTCCCTCTTGAAATGCAAATTAATTCAATTCCCAAAGAACAACTGTCTATCTTCGGCTGTGATTGGGGAAATATACCCATTTTAAATTGATAGGGCTAGTTTGAGCACTTCAAACAATATAAATAATCCTTGTAACATTTTATGTAATAATAACAATAATGCTAAAGGACCAGAAAATATTTTTTCACTTAACTGCATATTCAATACTATGTATTTCAAACGCTTCCTCACCTTCCTCATCATCATCCTTGTTTTATAATAATAATATCCATTTTTATCTTAATATTAAGTGATATATAGAACTATCCCTATATAAAATAGTTAATATGAAACTCATTTACATCAGATCTACTATGGAACTCAAGAATTATAGTACAATTGATTATTTATTAATTATGAATAATGTAAATTTGTTACACATTAGCTGCCTGTTGATAAATGATTCCCTATTTAAGTTCATACAAGATTATGCAAATTTGTGAAGTATGTTTCTGAACTTGATTGAATATAATAAAATAAAACTTTCATATAGGCAAGTAATTATTGATGATAAATATTATTATTATTTAGTAAATGCAATAATTAATATCTCAATTAATATTAAAGTATAATAATCAATTACAAAAGTAAAAAGAAAACTAAATATATATTCTTGTGGTGCTTTTGATCTTTACTCTACATATAATGCAATTATTAACTTTCTTTGAACAATTTTCGCATACAACCAAATGGTTACATGGTAAGAAACAATGTGTTATAGACTTGTCCAAGCAAATTTTACATTTAATGTATTTTCACCTCTATTTTTTTCTTCATTTTTTTTTAATTGTTCACTCTCTTCAGACAATGATTCATTGATTTCCATCTCTGTAATTAATTTATATTTTAATTTTTTTATATCTTCATTTTTATGTTAACTTCATCTTTCAGGTTTGTTATTTGTTCTAGTAATTGTTCTTTATTATAGTCATTATCATTATTGAAAAAAAATTCACCGAATACTTTTATATAATAATTGTGTTCTGTGGACAACACTTCAGGAATTGAAAATTTTTACTCATTTTGTCAGTTGATGATGATTTTTTTAACTACATATAATGATAACAAGTGGCTGCAATCACAATGAGTGGCAATAACTACCACCATTCTTATGATAAACACACCTGTTTTCAAATTCCTGTTTTCTTTTATTCTTATCTCTTTGGTCTTTTGGCATTTTAGAATTAATTTTTTTAAAAAAAGAATTGATCAACAAATGTGTACACTAATTTATTTATGCATGTTTTTTTTAAGGGACAGACACTATAATTGTGTAGTTATCCACAAAAAAAATCCACAAATTTCGTGAAATCTCAGAATATACAATTTTTATTGGTGGGTTGGGTGCGTGTTATCCTTATTTAGAAATCGATTTGGCGATTGCGGATTTTTGATTTTTTTTTTTTTGGAAAAACAATTTACTTTTTACAAGATGACCAAATGTGAGCATTATTGTTTGATATGGTTTGACTCTGAAGAAGTGTTAATAACTAACCAGAGGTACTTTTTTTAATTTGTATTGATATAATGTGGTGTCTTTTATTTTATAAATATAATTATTGAAATCAAAACATGGAGCAGAACTCGATGGGTAATTATAAGATCTTATCAAGATGAATGATTGGTATTTTGCTTTGTGTAACCAATATTAATATTAATATTGATATTATTATAATTACAAGATGTCAAGGCAGCATGACTGACTGTTGCAGAAGAAACAATTCAAGTATGTGATGTTTGATTATCAGATGTTGAAGCACTTTATGCTACCTTGAACACTTTACAGTCATTCACACACCTTCCTCACCTACACAAGGCTAATCTGACTACAGTGCTTCTGATGATACAATGATGTAGCAGAATTCCAGGGGGGTGCAAAGCTCTGGGGTTTACTGAGATTGCATCAATTGTCAATGACATTTTCACTAATCTTCCCTCACAGCACCCAGACCAGAGAAGGCTGCTGACATGTTAGACGAAAAGTCACCTGCAATGATTCACCTCTAGGGTAAGGATGCTCTGCAATCAAGTCACAACTCTGAAGAGTTGTGATATTAGGTATGCATAAACACCTAGGGTTTGTTACACACTATTAAAATCAAGTGTTTTTAAGGTAGGGGGAATCATGTGATAATTTAATACTGCGAGTGTGCAATCTGAGTTTCCTATTTAATAGGTTATTTATAGCTCAACACACAGCCTACTCGCTGACTTACGGT